AGTGAATTGTGGGATATGTCAGGGGTAACAATTACACCTCACTGTTCAGCGTTGTCGTTTTGCAGCCAGGTTAGTATAATGCAGCCGCGTAATTTTTTATATATTTTTGGACTTGTTAAGGCTAGCAGGAGACGATCATTGATATTTACGTCATTAGAGAGGAGTTGAATTTTAGTTGAATGTTGGATGGGGATGAGGGAGGTACATGTGGTTTTGCTGTGTTGCAGTGACAGCATTTTGTACGCGCGGCATTCAGTTGCATGCATGAAACCATACATGATTCATCTTGTGGTGTGTTCATCATATTCCGTTCATTTTCAACTCTTACAGGTTGCTGAGGTATTTGCCGAGAATTTGAAACTTTATGAGGAAGGCAAACAGATGGACTTCGTTGTGGACGTTAAGAGAGGATATTAACCGCTCAAGCCATGATACGAATGTATAGTACTGACGAGCAGTTCTGAAGGGGTAAAAGATATTAAAGCTAGRATTTTGTCTGTTYATTTTTAAGCTGGGAAATGARAATCRTTCAAARGGAACTTACTKGAATTGATCGTTTTCACCCATTCACATGAGATTCAAAAGATAAAAGACCGGCGGCCATGTTGGAGGAATGAACAATAGATACTAATGAGAAATCCTTTGTTAAAGTTCCTCCAAGATGGCCGCTGTGGCGTTACCTGCAAACGAAGAACAGGATTCAGGTCGGAATTGCTTGCTTTTTTGTCCGGAGAAAAAACTTTCTTTTGTCAAACTGGTTAGTAGGAGGTATAGTGGTAAGAATAGGAGTTATAGGTAGTGTTATAAACGTTGTATTTCCTAATAAAAAAAGGGAACATGATTGTTTGCTACCTAGTATGGATCCGGGGAGGCTTTACATGTTGTCCATTACTACCCTTAAACTTTAATTGATACAGGCCTTTCCAAAATTGAAAACGGAAAACTGGAAGTGAATATAAAAATAGTCCACTTATCATCTAAGTCCCCCGCCCACTTCTATAAGGGATTACTTCCCCCCACAGGACTTTTTATACTCTGCCAATGGAAAGTCATGGATTAGATTAGATTAATGGATTAGATTTTTTAGGAGTCCTTTCACATCGGCAGCTTAATTAAAGTTTCAAAAAGTTGATGAAAATCCTGACCGTGACCTATCGTGTAGAGCGAGCCGACAAATGCAGCTGCAACTCCAGCTACTAGCCATTTCAACGGTTAGGGGCACAAACCACTTGTCCTCGATTTGAAAAGGAATACTCTTTGTAGAAGGCATATGCTATCTTAACCTCCAACGAACGGCTCAAGCTRCATCATTGCCCGATTTCATACCGTGGGAGACTGGAAACAAGTAACGATGGTAAGTTAGTTAAGACTTAAATTAATCATATAGAACGAAAGATCGCACTGTAAATAAGAATCTCACAAAGTTTGGTGTTAATAATCGGATCAAATGTAAACGATGGCAGCTTTTCAAAAATTCTAGATTTTACAAAGAAATGTACAGGAATTTGGAAAAATCCGGATGCAGCGTCCGGTATTTTATACATTTCTACGGAAATTCTAGCGTTTTTGAAAGGCTGTAAATCGTTTAATATTGACCTGATCAACGCCAAATTCAGACAGTATTTCTCAATAAGTCTTATCTCGCCATCGTCCGAATTAAGGGGCTTGTACCCAGTCTCCCACGGTATGAAATCGGGAAATGAATCGATATTAGGGCGGATAATCCTCGTAATTTTCTCGTGTTCTACAATTTTGGTTGCTCCAGACGCTGGTTTTCTGTAATGTCACGAAGAACTGTGCATATTTTTTCAAAAAGACTAGGCATCATCAAAGAACTTTCTGAAAGATGTCCAAATGTGAACTTGCAGGAAGTTATGGTTCCAAAATCACGAGGATTTGATGAAAAGAGTAAGAGATATTGGACGAAACATGACTGCTTCCTTAATATAGGCCTAAAAATTGATTAATTCTGGAAAGTATGCATGTTTTGGATAATCTGTTGAGCCTATTGTTGGTGACTAACCACAGTGGAACGAGGTTGTGCATTGTACGAATTTGGGGTTCCCTG